CCCAATTTGTTGATACTATCTTTGTACGAAGACAATTTAAATTTCGATACAGTAAGATACGATGGTTTCGATTTAAATACCTGTTTTATTGTTATAAATAGCGATTATTGCACATGACAAATGAAAATAAATTAATAAAGTTGATAAAAGTGAAGTATATGTTACTTTGAAACAGAACAAAGGTATGGTTACTGAGTCGATAAAAATTACTTGTATAAAAAATTAGTATTTGATATTCCCCGAAATCTATTCTTGTTAGATCTTTACAGAGTCCTCTTGAATTTTTGGTTTAAATTCACTCGTTTCATAACTTTTAGTAAATTCATTTTTTGACTTTTGTATACTTCATAAACATGTCTGATAATTCCTTGTCCTTTATGTCTACTAACCCGTTCTTTTTCAGCTTCTAATCCAAGGATTCAGTTTTTGTTTCAGGTTATTTACAGAAATGTCTACAATGAATACCTGTTTTCCAAAATGAAGAGTCAACACTCTCAACACATGTGGTATTACGTTTCTAATCGTTTGAATTTCTGTTTCAGGTTATTTACAAAAATTTCTACAATGAATACCTGTTCTCCAAAATGAAGAGTCAACAATTTTATGAAATGTGATATTACGTTTCTAATCATTTGATTTTTTTGCTTCAGGAATCCTTATTGGATCAAATTTTTAATTTATTGAATTGAAATGTCGCTAACAACGTATTATTATGTTCTTCTATTCTTATTGTATGTCATATATCTATGTTCTCTTAAATTTCTGTTTCAGGAATCATCCTAAAATCGAATTAATGCTTGCTAAATTATTATAAATTATTAATTGTCCACAGAAGTTCATCAGAATGAATTATTTACAATCTATAAAAACGTTTGGTCATAATCCTCTCAGTTTCTGCTTCAGAAATCATCACACGAAGATTTCTCTTCACGCGAAGATCATCCGATGATTGTCATGAAGCCGAATGGGTTTAAAAAATAAGTTTCGTTTCAACATCTGTTTCTGCGTTGCGTTTAGTTTAAGTTGTAGAGTATGAATGGAATGTGTTTAGATCGTATTATACATATGTATAACTGCATGTACAAGGAAGATAGATGTGCAGGCCGAATCACTCGCTGCTAGGGTCGAGAGGTAAATCACCTGTTTTGTCATTTAAGAGTCTCTACCTCCTCCTGCTGCGCAGTTTATGTGTTTGACGGAGACAGAGAAAGTGTCGGTTCTCGCTCTGTCTCTGTCACACACGTAGGCTGCTCAGCAAGGGTAAGCTAAGTTGACACGTTTATGGTCAAGGCAGTTGAATGACAATGCAGGCGGCTTGCTTCTCTACCCTAGCAGCGAGCGATTCACCCTGTAGAACGTATGTGATTCCATCTACCCTCCTTGGGTCTCTATTCGCAGCAACCTCCACGTGGTGAGACCTGGGCAATCATTATTATTTGGTATATAATTGGTAACCACAATGACCTACAAGTTTACGAACTATATAGCAAATAATATGAGCCAATTGGCTGCGAGCTTTTGCTTATTTTGATCAATTGATTCCTGTTGTTAGTTTTTTTACTGGCTAGCTGCCAGTATTGAAACATTTTATTAAAGCAATATTATTTACACCGCTCACATTCTGTGATGATAAATATTCGACACCATGTATTCCGCTCCTGTTTTGTTAGGCGATAGAGTGGGGGGCGCGCAGTTGTCGAGGAATATTTTGAGCGAGGGGCGTTCCTAGTGATCAATTAACGGACCTTCAATTATTGGGCTTCTACTGTAACTCACGAATTCACCGTTCTCATATCGTAGAGTATAAGAATAAAACCACACACGAGGTATAGGAGTAGAGGGCAGCAGAAAATCTCTGACTGTTTGGACGATCGGTATTTCAGAACATGAGACATAAAGTCCCATAAAATGACAAGTCTATTCCATACTTTGTCTATGCCTGAATTCGTGCTTTTATCAGTATTATCGAGTAGTGACACTAAAATGATACATAATGGGGTCTATAGACCCCACAAAATCTAGCTTAGGAGAAAGCAAGGGATGTTAAGTTTAGCCTTATGTTTCGCTAGTGTTATCATGCTCCCGCGAGAAGATTGTGCTATCGTGTTGCTACTGCACAATTTATAAGATGACTTGAAAGAAATAATGTGGGGCCATCACGTAACAATGGCATGATATTAATTTACAAATAACTTGAAGTTTTCGTCGCAGATGCCGCCATATATGTTGTTCGTCATTGCTATCCTATGCTTACAAACAATAATTAAGAGTTCCCCTATCTACTGGATAGCTATGATCGATAATAGATATGATTTGACACCGTTGAAAGCAATTTTTATTCACAATTTCTGCGTACATTTGTATTAAAATTTTATTACAATACATATACATTATAAAATACATAAGAAAATACGTGATACCGCACGATAAAAAAATAGTTCAGTGAAAGGAAAAATTATTTATGTTTTCTTTGGTGTATTCGTGTTCTCGTTAGTTTGCGTCAAAGATATTAATCCAGGGAACTTTAAAAAAGTATATACACCTTCCTAGTTTCAGAAGCCATACTTCCCTTTTATCTTCTCGCGTTGGCGCAATGTTGATCGAACGACATCAAATTTAACCTTCGATTCTGATGCAATGATTCGAATTACGCAACTGGTTGGACGGCGAACAGCTTCGTCCGTTTACCATTGCAACCGCATTATTAACGTTCCGCGAATCGGTTGGCGAATACGGTTAATTGGATTTTGTATAATTCAGCTTATTAAGGTACAGATAAGGAAAATTACCATCGGAAGCTTGATTCGCTTGAACGCGTAAAAGCATCAACGAACATCGTTACCGTGGTATATTTACAAATATGTATTTATAGTCAATTGGTAAATATTGCAGAAACGATTATAGAATCGTTTTCTTGCCAGAAAGTTCATGCGTCATGTTATTCGGACGGTTCCATCGTCGAGCAGATGCAGCGAAACTCCTTCTACACTTGGTTGTTGCGGGAAAGAGAGATGTTGGGGTTGTTTTCTCGTTGATTTTGACATCGGCACAACTTTCTCGTTATCACGGGTCACGCTTTAGTTCCGTCGAGAACCTGTAACGCCTTGACGGGTCTTGGTAGCGCGAAGGACACGATGGAGCAAGCTAAACAGAGACGGGGGTTAAAAATTCGACTTTGAAAGTTACATGTACATCGAGAAAGGCTTACCAAGCATCAGACAACCCAGACCAATGAACGCGGCGATGGGCTCTAGGTCCAACAAGGTCGAAAAGATGATATTTCCGAGAATAGCTCCAACATTCCCGAGGGTCGTGAGCACGGTACCGTTGGTAGCTCTGTCCGACGAATGATTTGAACGAGTTATTCACTGTATTGGTGGACATGGATGCGCAAAGACGACTCGTGGAAGAGAAAATTCAGGGTAAGGGGGGTGAGGGAAGGGGGATGGGGATAGAAAGAAAAGTGGCAGTGAGTCCGTTGCCGGATGGACGACGAGATGTTTAGAAACGGATGCATTACCTTAATGGAACAGGGATGACGTCGACATTGACCGCGGTTACGATGTTTAGCGCCACTCTCGACGTGACGATAATTGCTGCAGCCAACGTCAGCATGTAGGGAGGAGCCTGTGCCCAGTTGATTCCGAAGCAGCTACCCACGGATATCAGAAGACCGACAACTGCAACGTCAAAACGGTTGTTCTTCGATGAACCTCGGTCAACGAAACGAAACGAAATGGGCTCCCACCGACGGATCCCTAGGGAAAACGGTGGACAAGCGCAAGCTCGATACCGAAATTTTAGGACAAGATGAACCCGAGTCGAATAATATAGACTCTTACGTAACAGTGTCTTCTTTCGGCAATCGGAGTTGGTTATCGTTCCAGCGAGAAACGCTACGACCACCGTCGAGAACGCGATGATGGCGGAGTTTTGATACACCATCGCTTTGATTGTCCACTGAAAATGAAAAATAAACAACGTGTACCAGTAATTGGTGAACACACATTGGCCGAACTGCTAGTCCCTAAACTCCTTACCTTAATGCAGATATCTTCGAAGTACGGGCAGCTCAAGTATTCTTTGGCGGGCACCGAATTTCGACGATTCAACATCTCCGTCATGGTCGGCGCTCTGTTCTCGGTCCATGACTCGTTGTCGAAGTTGTTCAAAATAATAAAAAGGTGCGGCACCCAAAGCCTCATCGTGTTGAATCTGCGGGAATGAAGCCGGTGAAAGAAGGCGGCGCCGCGCAATTCGCGGGAACGATCCTTTCGGATCGTTGTACCGTAATTGAAATCGGGGATGGTAGAACTTACGCCAACGAGCTGCCGAATTGTAGGATACCGAGAAGGGAGACGGCGCGCAGATACGGCGCGGAGAACAATAGTTTCGCGTTGTAGGAGGCGAGCCGTATTTTCTCGGAATTCTCCTTGAGAAAAGACCGACGCGATAGCTGCGCGTTCCGCCATCCGAGGATCGCTTTTATCTGTAACGAACGGAGAGAACGTTCCGGGAATGAACCTGCTTACATGTCGTCACCCTCCCGAGTTCTTAACCCTTTAAAGCCCAGCCCTTAAAGACGGAATACTTGAATTTCTCAACTGGAAACTTGGGGATGTTCTTCACATCGGTCAAACTACGGATCCTTGCTGAGAAAAGTTGCATATTAACCGGCGACAGAATTTTACACACTTTTAAAACGAGTGGTGCAATGCTGGGCGTTAAAGGGTTAACTGTTCTAACTCAATTTTTCAGGAAAATTTAGTTAATCAATCTACGTGCGTCGCATTGGTCCAAAGAATTCAAATTCACCATAATATAAAGAAAATTCAACCTAGAAAACAATTGTTCTTTCTAGTCCAACTCCAAAACTTTGAAAGGTTTTTTTCTTCAGGTTTGATACTATAATATTACACTCAGTTCTCTCAGTTGATAAACCAGTGGAGATAGAACACTTATATAAGAACTAGAGCGACGATGTATAACCGGTACGATTCCCGAGTGAATTATACGCATTCTAGGCGTTGCGCCTCCGATATCTCGATAAGTTCGAAAAATATCCCTCGAAAAATACTTCTCATCGCTCGTTTGCGTCCCAATCATGTTTCCGCGGGTCCAGTCACCCGTATGGTCGTTTCTCCGGTCGCATCTGTCGTGCAATAGGTGCAAAGCGCGGCGTTATATCGCGCGCGTCACAGAGTATATACCCTGGAAAATTCGGTCCGGCTAACGAACCACGGGGAAAGGTTGACGGAAATGTCGGGGCCACGGTTTGGCCGACGAGTCGATAAACGATCGTTCGCGCGTCTATACAGGGTGTCCCAAAAATATGGGACAATCCGTAACATGTATATTCCTCGTGAAAATACAAATCAAAAAATCATCTACCGTTTTGTAATCCGAGGCTTCATTTCCGAGATATTAGTAGTTAAACGAACTCCAATCAGCTGAGCGGTGGGCCACACGTACGCGCGGATACAATCAAGGAGAGACAAGGCCAACCGCTCAGCTGATTGGGGTTCATTTAACTGCTACTATCTCGCAAATGGAGCTTCGGATCACAAAACGGTAAAGGATTTTTCGATTTCTATTTACACGGGGAATATACATGTTGCGGATTGTCTCACCTGTTTGGGGCACTGTGTATATCGAATCTTACCGGATACGAATCGGCCGACTTCCACTTGTTGATGGTATACATCCTTCGAAGGAGTTCCAAGGCTTGGTCAGGCCTGCCGATATCCACGAGATACTTGGGCGATTGCGGTAACGTGCAGGCCGTGAGGAGACCGATCAACGGAACGACGGAGCAGATCAGCAGGTAAAGTCGCCAGGCGTTGTACTGCCGATAGAAGATTTCAACGATCCAGGGTTGCGGCAAAACCGAAAAAGCAACGACTACGAACGCTTAGACGCTATTTTTCGGACCCGACGAGATACGGCGAATGAGATTGAACGAGTTGAGAAGCAGCTTACCTGCTGGTACGACAATCGCCGCGTTCACGGCTAGACCTGCCCATCTGGCGTAGCTCGCTTTGTACTGCGCCGAATGAAATTCCGACAAGTACTGCAACACCATCGAGAACGGACCACCGACGCTGAAAACAGTGCATCTCGTGATTGGAGCGGGGGCACACAGGCTCTGGGCAGGGGTCGGAGAGGCTCGATACTCACAGAACACCGCTGAGGAATTTGATCGTTAGGAACACATGGTACGAATCGACGACGCTGCTGAGAATGTTTAGAACGGTGTCCACCAGAAGCCCGAGAACGAACAGATTCCTCGCCCCGACGTAAGGGGTGACATGGTCCCACAGGAAACTGGTTAGAATTGTGCCTGCACGCAGTCGGAAGGATGTATGTAACATTACAGTAAATTCTCAATGAGTGTTCGAAGCAGGGCTTCAAACGGATCCGAAAATAACTGTTTCAAATTGTTGTATGAAGATTCCGATTGAAACAGTTCTGAAGAACCTGTACAATCGTTATTAGAATCGGTTCTGTAATCGTTTTGAAACCTATATAGAACCGACAAATTGACGATTATAGAACAGATTTTTTATAAAAGTTACTCAGAATAAAGATTCTTCACAATTGTTTCAAGAACCCAAATCGATATCATAATAGTTTTAAAGCCATTTAATGAGGTGTAGCACACAGTGATAGAGCTTGGAAATCCGAAGTCAATGATATTTATTTCATATGGCCATTAGTTTACGAAATGTTTAATTGTCAGTGCCGAGGGAACTTTCGAACACTCATTGAGGATTTACTGTATCGCTTATGAGTAAGACAAGGAGAACGCAAATCTTTGAGTTTCAAATACTCTACCTACGAAGGGGAACGCCACCAGAACGCCTTTACGAAAAAACGTGAGAGCAAGATCGCACTCGGCCGAAGCCAGAACGAAGGCGGTCGTGGTCGTGTCGAAGATCCCGGTCCAGGCGACCGGCAACGCTGCCAGGAGAAGCAACACGTTGAACGCGCCGAAACCTGCGGACGAGAATCACATCCCAAAGCGGTCGCGGTAAAAATACCAACCGCAGTACATATCGCGGGCTCTTCTAACGTGCTTACTATCATCGAGAATATTTGGAATCCAGAGCAAGAGTGTCTGCTCCAGTCAACTTTTAAAAAAAATGACATTTTTCACACTATCAGATTGTAAAAATTATTTCGTTCCAAATCGTTTAGATTTTAATATAATAGTATAAAAATGATATTAAGCTCCACATAGAGGAATTAATCCAAAGTTCACTATTTCTACATAAGTATTGCGTAGTGACCCAATTTCTTGTTAAGAAATAATAAGAAATTATTGATAATTGTTTTTTTTAGAGCTCTTTAGTAAGTTTAAAAAAAAATTACAAGGTTTTCACGCCTTTGATTTTCTCTCCTCTAAAGTTCGAGAAGCGTGACTCAATACACTCTGGCTCTGTCTAGATATAGGAGAAACGTGGGTATTAGCGGACTAACCTGTCTTCGATAACGCCCTCTCGAGGTCCGCGGGGCCGTCGTCGTCGACGTCGTCGCATCTTACTGAAATGTTACGTCGGTCTTGACGAGAAAGCAAGCGCGCGCTTTGGCCGTCACGCGTTGCGCAACGTCACCGGTTACGCAAACACCATCATCGAAAATTCTCACCGTTTATCGTCGCGATCTTGTCGCTGTTCCTTCCATCTGTCATTGCACTCCCGAGAAAATTAGTCGACCGTTAACGACAATGATTAATTCGTAACTCTTTTTTTTGTCGGTGCTGGAAGAACCAGGTTCCGAAGGAGAGCTCGCGGAATCTCGTTTTTCGGACCGTTCGAGGGTGCGCGTCGCGTTCGGACGAATCTTGCCGCGATGGGACGGTGTATAATAGTATATATGTGTAGTCTTCGCGGGCCCTCGGTCCCCTGTCTGAACAAAACGATCGCCGTGAGTCGGAACGAGCGCGAAACCGCTAACACATTTTCCGAAACGATTCACACGACTACCGAGTAACTAGCAGCAGCCCGTTCGCCTGGCTGGCGAGGTTCCCATTCGCGGAGCGTCGCGAACTTGCCAATAAAAATGGGTCAAACGATTCAATTGCCCTCGGTCCTTCGTAGCAACGAAACGGGTCTAGCGGTGACACGCGGTGATCCACACTTGGAAACCGATTTGCATCGATAGAAAGAATCGCTACGAGTCCCGAAGGTTTGATAAGGCGACGACAAGTCACACACGGTCCCGCCACGACGCTGTGCGCCGGTAATTACCGGAAAACTTTCACGCGAATCCTCTCGCGCTAGATAAGATACGGGATTTCGTTTCTCGAGAGGTACAAGCCGGATGCGAATATCGGGTATCGCGTCGGCGTTTTACGCGACTCGCGAACTCGCGTCGTCTTCTGGGAACAACCGCACACGGAGAACTGAGTCCGCGATCTCGTTCGTGATCTAATATCTCGAGTGTGTCTATAATCTATAAGCTTCCGCTGGAATAGAAGGGGGCGAGATCGGTCGCGCGTCGAGCTCGAAAACTGGTTCGATCGTTGGAATTCTGATTGATCAAATTACCATTACAAATGAAAACTGAACGCGCGGGGGGTGTGTCATTAATAATGCACGCGCGCGTGATAGCACACGTCGTTATCGTGCGCCTAATGTTAGGCTCTGTGGTCTTAAATTTTTGCGAGAAACCAAGAGCTTATAATAGATCTCCAGGCGAGAGCGTGATAACAAAGGTTTACGTCGGAATGGTCGATTTCAGTAGACGAACAGAAACTGCAGAGTGCCCGGAAAGCATTTCGCGGTGTGTGCACTACTACGGACATCTCGCTGAAATTAGTTTGTCCGAGCCTTCGGGCCACAGCCGCGTGTCGCCAAACTTTGCCCTAGTTTAGATACAAACGTACGAACGTACGGAACGAAACCAGATGGACGAAAAACGCGACGTTCGAAGCTAGTCAGACGACCTTCGAGTTATCGAATCGTTAAACGAGATCGAGAAAAAAAAAATCTCTCTCGAGTCTATTTGCAATTTTAGACGAGTTTCTGCGCCGCTCCTTATTCCGCCCATTCGTTAACGAGTACACACGTGGCCAGACACCAGTTGTCCTAGGAACTAATCTTGGTGCACGCTGTTTCCGTTCGCTACTCTTGGCCGTGACGCATTTTTTCGTTTTTTTTTTTCGTTCTGACTGCACGCGCTCGGTTTCAGAATCGCAGCGACTGAATCGATGGCAAAAGATCGTTTTGAGGTATACCTTGTTCGTACAGAACATCGTCCTTTGACAAAAAATAATCGAATGAAGTTTGTTTATTGTTTCCCCTTTGAAACTAATCAGAAATCGCACTAAATATAGAAGTAAACCGGACCATAGTTATTATATTTATTTTGTACAGATAATTGTTAACAGTCGAAGAGGTAATGCAAAGTTCACGGCACTGGACCTTCACGGTACACATCCAGATTTAACAATAGCGACCCGATAAATAGAATTTGTACGCAAGTGAACAATTATAGCCAACTAAATTGATTTTTTTTACTCTGAACGTAAACGTATCCATCACTACGGTGGTAAAAATAGTAAGCTAGTTATTCATAATGTATTTTTTGAGACCTTTCACTTGCGTCATGTTTTGTAATTCAATGGGCTTTTGTCCCGTGGAAAGAAATTATTATTATTAAAATCTTAATCCCACTCTGGCTCGAGCGAGCTATTCTCTGGGCGTTTGGCCCCAATTTATGCAAATATGGACAGACTATGAGACTCCGTTGCCGTGTCAAAAGCTAATGGCACAAAGACAAAATCCGTCTGTGACAATCCCGCCCTTTCCGATGCTCGACCATTCGTCACCCGCGGCGTCGTTATCGTGAACGGTAGGGTTAATTTACGACTGCGGTCTCGAGTGCTGTTCTCTTCTCCGTGAAGTCCGCGTCTTTGCCCCGATTCGTCGGATTTCACGGGAAGACCAAGCACGCGGTTTTGTATCGCTCGTAATTCACAAGACCGCGGGAAATCGGTCTCGAGACTTGGCCCGTTCCGTCGTCGATTCGACGAAAAAACACCACGGTTTTCTTCGGTTCCAATCGATACAATATACCTACGTAACGGCGACTCGTTCCAGTTTCGCGTTTCCCTTGTCCGTTCATCTAACTTTGCAAGTGCTACGCTCGAGGAAGTAGGAGAAACGGAAGTCCGCGAATGAGAAACTTTGATTCTTTCGTCGGGGAGAAGAAGGTCTTCCTTGCCCCCTTTTCGGATAGCCCCGAGGTTCGAAGGTTCGAGTTTCGAAATTCTGTTTCGTACTCGCGGTCACGACGCAGTCTACGGGTTTCCAACGGGCTCCCTTGTTCGTTTCTTCGTTGTTTTTTTCCTGCGCCTTGTTTCCCCAGTAAAAGCTTTCGCCGCGCTTGATTCTCCTAGATGAACCGTGCTCGAGAAAAAGACCGGGGGTCGGCTCGAGTATTCGGGAATATTCCAGAGGCGAGGATTACAATGAAAAAAAAAAAAAGAAGCGCGGAAGAGAAGTCCTTTTTCCCACTGCCTCGCGTTTCCCCGGAAGCGTTAATTAAATTGCGTCGTGGAACGGAAAGAGGGTGACAGAGAGAGACAGCAACCACGAGTGGTTGAAATCGATTAGCTTCTTTCGCGACAGGTCGTCGCCGGTTCTTGCCTGCTGAGAACCTGACGATTCTGAATCGTCCTGATTGATCGAACGAATCGCGTCGATGCGACTCGGCTCGATTCTGCAGAGTTCACAGGTTTTTCTGGAGATGCTGCCGGTGAGGCTTTCTTTTTGGCCGTTCGCTCGTTTCTTTTCGACCGCCGCACAGTGGCCTGAAATATAAATTTAGCAGCTCTTACGCCCAATTTAGCTCGAGAAATGAAAAATGTTGAAACTTTTAACTTTATTTAAGCAGAAGCAGACGAAGAAAGAATTTTTTACTAATTTTAGAGATCCTCTCCAGAGAAAACTTATAAAACCTCATTTTTCTCGGTTGTCTGAATATGTTAGTTATCGGACAATCAAGCTAAGGAGGGCAGAATAGATCTGGGGACAACGATAAAGCATGGAACAAATCTGGTATTTTGGAACATAAACGAAATTTGTATTCAACCCTTTGATCTGCTGAAGTTTGATTCTGGAGCACTGTTCGCCGGTAACAGCTCTATCGCGATCTAACGTTCCCACGAGAACGTTGCTTCGCAGCGTTTCTGACCGGCGGAGTTCGATCCGAGGCTGTACCGACGGCCGGCTAATTCCGCCCCCGTGAACGGAAACAATTCCACCCCCTTGTCCTCGTGCCTGCGAAATTTATCTTACGCCCCGAGGCTTCGTTAACGCGCCCTTTGGGTGGCGCCAACGCGTGACGAACTTTAACGAGGCGGAACGCGATTAGAGTCGACTCCGTCATCGAACGGCCACCCACACTTCGCCGTACAATTTTCCTCGCTACTCGACGCAGCCTCCCGGGTGCTCCTCGTTTCTTCGAGCGTAGACGATAACCGTCGATCGAACCGACGAATTTCTCCTCTCGAACGGACGGAAGCGCGGCGAGAAAACCAGGCCTCGTCGTTTGGATCGATGAACGCTTTTCGAGATGCTCGACGAAGGATTCCCGAGAGCACACGCATTGAAACCGCGGGTTTATCGTCCGTTACGAATCCCGATTCTCGTGCAACGGTTCGATATGAATTCTCTTAGCCTCTCAATTAATTCGACGCAGAATTTATCGAGCGATTAACCGATAATTATGTAGTTTGACGCTCTCGAGACGACACGGGGAGCCGAGCAGCCAACCGTGTTTTCGTCCCTCTTCGGCTCCCTTCGCCCTGTCGGCCGTCCCACGGTCGAACAGAAACGAGCAATTTGAATAAGTGTCGCGCGACGTCGCGACGAATCCATTAGACGTCGACGGTGGCAAGAGTTTCGTCGCTGCGTAATCGTATATAGTCGGATAGGTCTGGTATAAAATGTTACATATGAAAATACGATAAACAATTCGGATCTGGGACACGGAACGGACACGACCCGGTTGTCTATAAACGAGCGTTTATCGTCTGTATGCTGGATCATGAGAAGATTCCGTGTATCCAAAAGATCGCGCCACCGAGAAGAACGAAAGGGAACGAGGATGATACACGACGAAATCGCAGCGACGAAGAACACTAAGAGAGATACCAAACTGTCGGCAAACTGTATTTACCGTTGTTGCTCGGTAGTCGAGCGGCTACATTGTGCTTCTCGGCAAACTTTCCTAACGATCTCGTGGGTTCTGCTCGTGTTTTCCTTAAATACGAGGAAACTCGGAGATAAGCTGAAACCAGTTAAACCGTCGCGTTTCCTTCCCTTCGTTGTTACGGCGAGCAGTCGTTTACTTCTTTGCAACGGATAGAGAAAGAGATACACGTCACGTCGCCCTCGTTACGAAAACCACGCGGCTGGCACAACGAAACGACGAACCACCTCGTTGAAAGAATATACCCATGACGCCTTGAAAACGCACATTTTACGGCTGTTTTAGGTCTAAGGCGTCTTTAAGCCGTCTTCTAGGCGGCACGTGCTATCTGGGTATGAACACGAAGAGAAGAAGGTTTCCCCGTTGAATTTACAACTTTCTGCTTTTCCAACGGATCACGTTGAAACGCTCCCAACGAAGGAATCGTTGCCCACCACCCAGTAACTCGACGACGAATCCTCGTCGGTCCCG